GTGTGAAACTATGGGGAATGGGCTACTTGACACTTTATTAGTTCCTTCTGAAAAACGAGTAAGAAGATTATTAACCAGTGGCTAAATTCTGCCCTCTAATACATGTGTGCAATTTTAAGTCAGTGGGAGTTAACTGAATTTGGCTTTAGCTGTAAATCTTGCACAAGGTAGAAGTTCCCTGAGCCTCTATAGCTCTGTGATTCCATATTAAATCTGGGTATTGCCTCTAAAATCTTTACCTACATTATCTTTTTTTTCCCTCCTTTTCTTTTTTTGTTAAAGCTTTTTGGGGGGTTGCGGATGAGGAATAGACATTTAAACCGCAAACCAAACAAACTTTAAATTAAATATCTAGCTTTTTACAGGCAACTATTGATTAAACCGTTGGTGTCAAAAGACATACATTTTGAGATACAGTACATGCCCTGTTTCTAGCATTGGGTCATCCTGCAACAACTAGCACAAATTATGATGATAAATACCAGATAAATGATATTTGGAATAACCACTTTTGTAATAACTCATTAATTATCGACTGTGATATAATACAGAGGGGCTTGTAACCACTGACAATTTCTGTTCTCACTGAGGTAGAATCTTAACATTTGGTATGCTCATTATGGTCCATTGAGTGCAAGAGAGAGAGAAATTATATCTGAACATTGATTTTTTTTTTCTCAGAGGTCACCAAAAAGCCATCATCACTCTTTCCTATCATATGAATTATTGTTCAGGTGCCCTTCAGAGCTAGAATCATGACATAGAGTATGCTCTTTCAGTGTGGAATTCTATCAATAAGGAAATATTCCTATTAAAAAACCAGGTAACATTTAAGTCTGAGCCAATTGCAGGCTCATACATGTATAGCCATGACCTCCGAAGATGCTACTGGTGTCAGCACAACTGGGATTAAGGGCTAAATACAAACATGAGCAAAATTCAAACCTTATGTAAACACTCTGTGACCTTCTAAAAGCAGTTCAATGAATGGTGTATTTTTCACTGTAAGGAGACTGTCCCTTTTAAGCAAGAATTTTCAGGCGTCTTTTCATAGGCTCTATGTGGTGATGCAAGTACCCCATAGCAGGCATGTTGAAAATCAATTTCTGGGAATGAGGAGGGAGTAGAAAAGGAAGACTAGTCTTTAAACTAGTATTTAGAGAATAACCTTTAAATCTGCCAAAATCTATCCTATGTTTTTAAAGTTGGTATAGAATTAGATCTGAATGACGATGTCCTGCACTAACACATGGAAAGACTCACAGTTCATTTCCTAGTCTATTGCACTCCCTTGCAGGGCTACAGGAGTGTTTCAGAGCCAGTATTCCTGGTTCTGTAATGAGGAAATCCATAAGGTTGATGAACCACAGTCCTGCCAGCCAATTTACTACTTACTCATTGACTACTTCCTAAGCAAATGCTTGTTGTTCAAGGATAGTTGGAATGATATATTATTTGGAGTGGGTGGTGTGTAAAGTGGGAGAAAAGTCAGGGTAGCAGAGAGTGCTGTGACAGGGACTCTGGAGTAATGGGGGAAAGTTTTAGACTTAAAATACAAGGTAATGATCTAGCACAGCTGTTCTGATCACATAATACAAAAGGATAAACACTGTATTAGGTCTGAATAGTATCCTAACTCACCTATGCTATGATTAAACATACAACTTACAACTTGATAACAAATAAGGTATTTCCTCTATAATCAGTTTCAGAAATGAGATGAAAATATGTCCCAGGTAGTGAGTGGGAGGGAATGTTTCGCAACTCAAATTGTGTGCATACATGCTACAAATTCTTGATCTATTTACATGCAAGTTAAAGTTGTTTTTTTACGTGCTGTGTCAGTTGCCTTTCGTATGTACTCCAAAAAGGCTACTAGAGTCAAGGGTTTTTTTAAATATATATTACTTGATTAAACCATTATAGTAAGTCACTGTGTGAAAGTGGAATAATAATTGTAAGAAAAATGTTTCTTAATGCACATTGTCCTTTTTCAGATCAGACCTGTTTACTGTTTTGAAGGAATATATGCTATTTAAGTAAAAAAACATACTGTACACAAAAGACCAAATTAATTCCTGGTGTAATTCCATTGACATCAGTGGTATTACATCAGGAGTATATTTGGCCAAATATGCTGAGAATAAAATAAATAAATAATAGTAGAGATACTTTTAAGGGTGACAGGCCAGACCTGTGAGCCTCTCTTTTTGTTCTGATGCAACACTCCCCTTTGTGCTTGTTTGCACTATTCTGGTATGCAGTCTTTTAAAATGATACTTGGAAGTACAGTATCTTTCTAGCAAGATTTTTGTAGATGGTTTTAGTACCCATATACAAGAATAGGTACCAGACAGGCACGCTAAAGTAAATAGTTCTGTATTCGTTCTCTGATTGGAGAAAAAGTTAAGCACGTTGTCCTTTTGATACCTGGCCATAACTAAGAAAAGAGAGTAAGAAAGAAATTGGCCTTGTAGCAATTTATGCAAAAAACTATTGAAATTGGCTGCAATACCTTGGAGTAAAGTTTAGGTAAAATATGAGACTATTTAACCTTGTTGCTGTGCTTCACATATTGCTTTTACAACAGTCTGGTTCTTGTGATCCTCTATTTTATTATAATTATGAAACATTTATATTACAGTAGCACGAAGCAGAGTGGGGTCTTACTATGGTAAGTGTTGTACAAACACCTGAGAACACAGTTCTTGCCTCTACTGTGTATTTAATGACAAAAATTTCCAACTAATGTGATAAAAATATTATCAATAAAGCAATAGGCAGCATGGCCATGATCCAGCAAAGCACTTTAACGTGCATAATTTTACGTTAACATAAATGCTTAAATGTTTTGCTGGATGGGGTCTAAATTAATGGATTTAGAGAAGTTTTGTACTGTATTAAATAAAGTTGTATATGGTTGTCCTTTTCTAACAAAAGTACAGGTCAGGTATTTTTGTACAAATATAAATTAGATACATGTGTGTTCAGCCTTGCTAGTTTTATGACTGTTTGCACTTATGGGCTTGCCTGGATGTGAATTTACAGATAGAAAGTTTATTTTTAATGTTATTACCAAGATAACTAAATTATGATTTCAAAACACATGAATATACAATAAAAGGATAGTGTTTTTATAAAGTGTTTGTGTATTGTTGTGAATTATGTAAATAATTTTGTAAGGCACACTTCCAATGTTTTTTACAATATACTAGTAAATGGAATCTTGGGTAGCGTTTATTTCAGTGAGCACAACTGTCTTAGCATAAATGAACAGCCCACTTCCTGGATTGAAGTGTACAATGAGGATAATATACAAACATGCTCTTAAATCTTGAAAGAATAAAATTTATAAAAAGTCAGCCTAATTTTTTTGTTTGTTTCTGTGGGGAAAAATTAACAGAGCTGAATGTCTATACAGCACCTAGCACAATAGTGTTTCTACAATTAAGTAATAACTAATGTTAAGGGGGTTTAGTAGAAACTTTGATAAACTGGTGGCATTGAATTCTTTTATAATGGAGGAAAACATGTTGCTGTGGAATACAAGAAGACTCCTAATGACTATCAGGCTTCTGCTGCTCGGAGCTGGCAATAATTAAAGAGAAATGTGGCCAATTTAAGCATTTAATACATGCTAAGGTCTGATTCACTAGTGTCCCAAGGCTCCTTTCTGCCCATGTAACGAACTTCTAAAGTTGCGGTAACAGCCCCCAAGGGAATTCCCCTGAAAATAGGGGAAGTACCCATCAGGTGTAGTCATCTATCTTCCGGCCTCAAGATACTTTTGGTCTGATTATAATGAGACACATCAGTTATAAAATTTACATACCAGCTTGCCTTTTTAAGATTTACTATGAATTCTCTCCTGCCTAAAAGGACCTCTTAAATCTTTCTGGGCCAAATTCTGCGGTTCATACTGATATAAATCTCCCATTGACTCTAGTAGGAGCTTTTACCTAAGGACTGCAGAATTTGTGTTTGTTTGTTTTGTTAGCAAAGGAAACAAAAGGTCCTATAATGGTGGAGCCTGATTATATGCAGGGTAGATCTTCTTCACTAGTGCTCAAGAATTGAGATCGGGGTTATTTTATCTCAATGTAATAGTATTTGTGGGTGAAGTTCACTGGGTATATTATAAATGTTAACTTATGCTAAAGGACAAGAACAAGCATGAGAAAATGGGCTTTTTAAAAAGCCCATCTACTTCACCTCACACTGGGAGCTCAGTCATGGACCTCAACATATTATATGCATCTATATTATTAGTGTCAAGTATAGTTTAAATTCCTTGGGGCGGGGCCACATCTTCTGTATTTGCACAGTATCGTGTAATAAAAGGTGAGACAGGAGTGTGTGTAAAAGATTGATCTTTTTTACCCAGCTTCAGTCACATGACATGGGTCAAGGCTACCAAAGTTTCTAGATCTGTGTCTGTCACCTGGCAGAAGTCAGTAGCCTACTGACTTCAGTGGCTACTGTTATTGCTTCTCTCCCCACACCTGCCTTGCCCGTTTTTCTCGTTTTGGAAATAAAATGCAAACACTATAACCCAAAAGTAACCACCACCACTGAATAGAGCCAATTGATAAACACACACAGCTAGGCCAGGCTTTTCCATTGCAGTTCACAGGCATGTTACCAGCACAATCGAATACTGTTGAGATTTCAACCTTATTTCAATTCAGTTTTCAAACTTTTGTACTCGGAGCCTATTCCAAGCTAGTTTCCACGTGGAGAGGAGCTGACAGAAGTGCCAAGGCCAGGAGTTTAGAGGAGCCATCCAAAAGCGAGGGGGGAAGGTGGAGGACAGAGCACGTCTTACACTAGTGGGATGAGGGGAGATTTCTCCTTCTGTTAGTATATTTGCAACGTGCGCTGCACTGTCTCTGGTGGCTAATAGAACCGTTCGGAAGGCAGGGCACGCTCGCTCCCCCGCTGCTGAAGGCAGAGCTGGCCCTGGACAGCCCAGTCACCTGGGGCTGGGCGTGTTTGCACGGCCTGACTCGCCTGCACGCCCAGACGGCTAGCCCCGGTCATGCCCAGCAGATGCCGCATGGGCCCCGCGCCGGAGCCAGCCCTGTTGGGAGCGGCGCGTTAGCGCAGCCCAGCCTGCAGGGGCTGGCAGCTTTCGGGGGCCGCGCTCCCGGCCCCTGCCCTGGGCTGCCCCCGCAGTGGGTGGTGTCTGGCCGGCCGGCGGGCGCGCTGCTCCCCCCTGCAGGCGCAGCCTTCCGAGAGCCGGCGCGAACTGGAGTGAGCTGGGGCTATGGAGCCCCCTTTCCCCGCGCTGCTCTGCCTGCTCGGCCTCCTCGCCACCGCCTCCGGAGCAGCCGGTAAGGTGCTCCCCTCCCGCGCCTGTCAGCCCCCAGCCTCCGCTCAGGCTGCGGGGCCTCGGGCTCCGGCCCACCTGCGGGCTCCGAGCCCGGCCATTGTCCCTCTCAGGGCGGGCGGGGTGTGACACCCCCTGCGGAAGGAAGCGCAGCCTACGCTGCTGGGTTTGCGGAGTAGATGCGGCCCCGAGCTCGAGGGACGGTCCCCCACCCTGGTGCATTGTAAGTCTGCAGAGGGGAGGAGTTCACCCTGCCGGTTGCATGTTTCCCATTGAGGGAGTGGGGGGTGCTGCTGCGTTGGGCATTGCAGGCCCCTGGGGGTTGCTGCTGTCTGACACTCTTGGCCTGCCATGAAAATAGATATTGTCTGGGCTAGAAAAGTAGGCCATGTTTTTAAACGTGTGAGCGAAAACATGTTAGCTAGCCCAACCTCAAACAGGACTTTGCACCCATTGCCGCAGATATGGTCAGTCGTTGTTAAAAACCTGTTACCCAGCCGTGGTCAGCCTTTAAGGGAGTCTAGTGTTAGCCACAACCAGCAAACATTTTGAGACACAACCTATTTCCAAATCTAGACAGGGCCACAGTCCCGTTATGTTTTTAGTCTTGCTCCTCCTCCTATAAAATCAGATGAGAGGCAAATTCATTTCCTGTTCCTCATGAGGGGAGAGAAGGCTTTGTGTTGTGTGCTGAGAAGTTTCATTTTCTGGAAAGTCCATTTGGCTAATGTACAGCTATTGAGAAACAATGCAAAGCAAACACCCCTTCAAACATGGAGCATTAAAAAACATAATATAGTCTGGAGCGAGTGCCTTCTCATGCTTTCTTATCAAAACTAACGACCCAGTCCTGCAAAAATGTACACATATGTTCAACTCTAAGCATGTGAATAGTACCATTAATTTTATTTCAGCTGGACAGTTTGAGTGAGTAAAGTTAAGCATGTGCATAATATTTGAAGGCTTGGAACCTAATTGTGAAATGAATAGTAACAAAGGAAAGAACCAGTTAAACTAGGGGAAATGACACATGTGATGTGCTCCTGTCAGTTAAATGCCTAATACATGGGAACTATATTTTTCCCTTACCCAGGGTAGGCTTTAAATAGAGCTTTTCTATTTCTAGTTATATAGTAGGACTATGATCCTACATAATTCTGGTAAAGAAAGTGTGTGCACATTATCAACATGTATTTCAGCATTATGGCATAGAAAAAAATCATGTTAGTCTTGCAATTTATGAAAGAATTGCATTGCTGCACAGTCATAAGTTGTATGATTAAGTGGTTTTGATTTTTCAAAGCACTTTAAAAGAAATGAAGAGGGTTTTCTCCTTTTGAATTTTTCAGCATTTCTGCACTTTTCCTAGATAATGCTATTTACTTACTTTTCCACTTCACATGACTAATAAACTGATCAGTGTTATTCATTAATGCACCAGCACAATACTGCTGTGTTTAGGTTACAAATTGTATAGGGAAATGTTTAAATTTAAACAACAACAAAAGTTTTCATTTAATTTAAAAAAAAGTTTTAATTGTTATGGTAAAAGTTTCTAATGACTTGCATGCTTGCTTATACATCGTGACCCCATTCAGGATGAAACTCTCCACAGAAAGAGCAAAAGATACTGTGCAGTAAAAATTGAATCCAGAGACTAGCTCTCCTTTGTCTGTCAGTTGAGGTACTGAAATTTCTGTGTGTCTCAGAGTAGCTACACATAGTAGGAAGATTGTTGCACAAGCTCACAACAGCCTTAGCCTAGGGTTTTCCCAGATGTAAAACTCAGGTGACAGTGGCTATTTCTTCACTGCATAGTTAACCTGGGTGACTGACCACCTGGGTCAGAGCTCTCAGGTTAGCCTAGTCTTGGGTATCAGCCTCCCTGCTGCAAAGCCCTACCCTAGTTACTGTGTCTTCACTGTTTCTGCGCTCACCCATGTGTGTGTCTGGGGGCATGGTTCTTTGTGTTGAAATGCTCTAGGATTCGTTTCCAGTCAGTTGGGGAAGAATTTGTCTGTCCTTCAAGGGTAATTGTGGCAGGGCATTGGAGGGCTATCAGCATTTGAAAGATTTTTTTCCCCGGAGCCTCATTGCAAGGTGGATTCCAGCCTGAGTTAAAGCAGAGCCGAGATTCTAACTCATACTCCCAGCCTGGTAAGTTAGCCTGGGTTTAAAGCACCTCCAAACCCAGATCAGTGGCTTTTTTTTTTTTTTTGGTGGATGATAGGCACGTTAACCGGGGCCCTTACCTGGTTTTTAGCCTAAACTGTGCGTTGTAGACATACCCTGCTTGTTAAGGAAAGAGACAGGCAGAAGAGCTGCTTCTGGGAACAGGGTAGACTTACTTGGGGCCTGGGTAAGGGGAGTTGCCTCTGTGCAGTTTCTTACAACCCCTGTTTGTGAAATCAAGACTTGTGTACATTTGGTAAATAAATAAATTACAGTAAGAAAATACCTGACTGCTTAACTGATTTCTGCTTCAGATGGGAAACCGAGCTGCAAGGCCTCAAAAATCTGCTACCCTTGCCAAAGGAGCAACATTATTTATTTGTATTTACAGTAATGCCTAGAGGCTCTTAGGCTATGTCTACGCTAGCACTTTAGTTGGTAAAACTTTTCTCAGTCAGGGGTATGAAAAAAACATACCTCTGACCAACGTAAGTTTCACTGACAGAAGCACTGGTGTGGACAGCACTGTCGGCGGGAGATGCTTTCCTGCTGACATAGCTACCGCCGCTTGTTGGGAGTGGTTTAATTATGTGGGTGGGAAAGCTCTCTCCATCGGCATAGAGCGGCTAGGCTACCCTGGAGACCTTACAGCGATGCATCTGCAGCAGTACATCTGAGCCACTCTATGGTCTGTAGTGTAGACATAGCCGAAGTGAGATCAGGACCCCACTGCTCAAACAGATAGGGCTAGTCTTCACTAGAAGTGTTACAGCTGCGCTGCTGTAGTGCGCCTGGTTAAGACACTCTGTGTCGACAAGAGAGAGCATAATAAAACCACCTCCACGAGAGGCAGTAGCTATGATGTCAGGAGAATCTCTCCCACTGACATAGTGCGGTCCACACTAGCCTTAGGTTGGTGTAACTTATGTCATCACTCAGGAGAGTGGCTTATTCACACCCCCGAGTGACATAAGTGGTAGTGTGTACAAGCCCATCGTAAGAGAGAGTCTGCCCTGAAGAGCTTGCAATCTAAATAGACAAAATAATTAAAGGGGGCGGGGAGAGAATCAAAGCATGGAGAGGTGAAGTGACTTGTCCAAAGTCACAAAGCAGATCAATAGCAGGATTAGGAAGATAACACAAGCTTCCTGAGTCCCAGCCCACTGCCTTATCCACTAGCCCACTCTGGCTCTTGGACAAAACCCTAGAGTTTGGGCCAGGATCCAAGTAGCAATATAGATTTGTCTACAGACTCTACACCAGGGATCTCAAACTCAAATCACCACGAGGGCCACATGAGGACTAGTACATTGGCCCGAGGGCTGCATCACTGACACCTTTTCATACAACAATACAAAAGTATAGTCAAAAATGAAAAAAATGAAGAATAATATAGTATGCTATTAAAAGTCAATGAATTAACTTTTTAAAAACTGTAATGCGAAAAGTCAGTGCTAATTTTGACAGTCATTTCATTTTTTGGCCACTTAGCTGGCAGCGTTTTGCATCAATCAGAGCATCAATATTAGGTTTGATATCCTCAGACTAAACCAATCTTGGTGTTGCTTGCAAATTGTACCACATTCCATACAAAAAATACACGAAGAGAATGTTAAGACTGCACAGTTAAGCACTTGTGCCAAAATTAGGGTTGCACACACAACTTTTTCTCTGCCCCTTTGAGACTGTTATCATGTAATCTTTTAATTACAGGGTCACGTACTGTTTCTCAGATAATATATACCTTTTTTCTACGCCCTTAAATTGTATAGCATCTTACAGTGATTTTTCTACTGACTTTTATTGCATTGTCACAGTAGCCCAATATATGCTTACTAGCAAAAGACTTGCCACTTAGCCACTCAAGTTTATGGTAAGTATGAGTGAGGGTGGGCAAATGTGTGTTGTGATGGGAAGCTGTGTTGATTTGTGCCTGGGTTGTGTTGTGCTGGGAGATTTTGATTGATTTGTGTTGGTGACAAATCAGGGGTGTGTGCTGAGGTGAGGGGCTATCTGTATTTGGACTTGCTGGTTGTGTTGTTGTGTAGGTGGTTGTGCTGATATGTGAGGTGGCAGCTAGGCACAAGGGTGTGGCAGTCGGGCCAAGTAATCCACCATCTGTGAAGTCTCCCTCATACAACCAATGAAACTGTAGCATGCAAATTAGCTATTGAATAAGGGTGGTGATTGGTTGAGTTATCTCTGATATCACGATGGTCTAGTACTCTTGACACAACACAGATACACACCTTTCTGTAGTTGTACACCAATTGTCAAGTCAAAATAGCTGAGAACTTCGAAACTGGTTGGTAACAGACTGCAAAACCCCCACTCCACCCCTTCCATGAGGCCCCGCCCCACCCTGCCTCTTCCCACCCCTTCCCTAGATCCCGGCCCCAGCCCCTTTTCTTCTCCGCCTCCTCCCCTGAGCACACCGCGTCCCCACTCCTCCCTCCTGGAAAGTCCTAAGCGCCACCAAACAGCTATTTAGCGGTGGGAAGTGCTGGGAGGTAGGCGGAGGAGCGGGGATGCGGTGCGCTGGGCGAGGGGAAGGGGAGGGAAGTTTGGCTGCTGGTGGATGAGAGCACCCACTAATTTTTCCCTGTGGGTGCTCCAGCCCCAGAGCACCCACGGAGTCAGTGCCTATGCGGCCCACAGGCTGCGTGTTTGAGACCCCTGCTCTACACAAACAATTAGATTGCGGCAAGCTCGGGTGTGAATTTGATCCTCACTAGCCTGTGGGGCGATCTAACTGCTTATATGCAAAGCTCATTAATTAACTATTGACACGCGTCTGCAGGGTCCATACAAACAGACCGGGGCAGGTTAGTG